CGGCCAGGGCGGGGGAGACGAAGCGGGGGCGACGGGCGGCCTCAACCGCACACAGCCACCCCGCGGGCTCCAGGCCGAGGTGGGCGCCTCGGGGGAGCCGGTGGCAGCCCCGAGGGAGGAAAGCAAGGCGCCACTCTCCCGATAAGTAGAGCGCTCCTTCTCCCGGTGACTGCTGTCCTCACAGGCTAGCGCTCTCCGGAGATTCACTTACCTGTGAGGCAAAGGCAGGTCCTCCCGGCGGAGCGGTGTCCATGGGGCCGTACGTCCGCTAAACCATGGGCGTGAGCGGGCGCTGCCCTCACCCCAGTGCGCTGTGCACAGGTACAGCGTTACTTGTACTGCATGCTTCAGAGCGGGGCTACGTTTATGTCTGCTAAACATGAGCTGCCTCTGCACATCATCTATTTAAAAATCTTGTTATAATGTCAGTCAGGCTGGCTCCAGAGGACACAGTGAGGCTGCAGGTTGTTTGCGAGACACAGAATTAAAATAAGTTCCCCCAAACAGAGAACTGACTCTGGGAAAGACTTTGTAGTGATTCACTCCCCATCCCTGTTATTTAACTCTCTCATCTCCGTCTTTTGGTTTGGCAGTAACCTGCGCAAGTTACAATAATATTATCCTGAATACTATGCTGCCACCAAATGTAGGAAATAAGCCCATTATGGCGCAATTTAGCAGCGTGGGCTGGTGCTTAAAGCAGCTTCCCTTTTCCTCGGGGGCATGTCTGTGATAGCCTCGCTGCGGCCTTGCGGGCTACTGTTGTCTCTGGGGAAGAGGGGCTGGTGTGCTGGGGCTCTGCAGTGGCACGTTACCGTTCCTCTCCCACCTGCTCTTGCGAGGGGGCTATATTACTGCCGCACTTCAGGAACTTCGGCCAACTCTGTGTGGAGTCGTTAAGCAGTAAATAAACAGAAAGGTGAGGCAGAGGACAAAGCAGACGTTTGGAATCGGAGAGGGCTGTAGTTAGCTAATTGTGATCCTTTGCCTTCTCTTAAAAATAGACTCTAGGTACAGTGATGATTCCACTGAACAGTTTGACAGTAAGCCTTGCATCCTTGTCCAGGACGTAGGTTAGAAAGCCCCTTTATTTCTCAGCAGAGAAAAACAATCAGTCCCAGCCAAAACCAGCCTTTTTGGTTTTTAATATTTAATTCTTAAAACCTCCACCTCATCCACATCCCCTTTCAAGTCTCCTCTGAAATTGTATCATTCCTCCCTTGTGTATACTTCTCTCTGCTATTATTTATTATTTAACACTTTGTGATGCAGTTTGTGCTGAAAATGCTGCACAAAATGAATCTGTTCCATACTTATTATTGCATCTAGAGACATTTAAGGTCCAGTCCTGTCAGGCGCCTAAGATTATGCAAGTTTCCCTGTTGATCTGACTGCTGAAAAGCTGCTTAAATGTTTTGCATGATTAGTGCTATACATGTACAGAAATAATAACATAAAAAATTATTTCTTTTATGGGCTATTAATCCTGACTAACTATAGTACAAGTTTCTTGTTTCACTGAGTTCCTGGGGTTTTCCTTAAGAATTCCCCTATAGCAAAAAAGCCCAAATGATTTAGGCTAGAATCTAACATTTGCGGGACTCGGGTCCATGCGATCAGAATCTGACCCTAAGTGGCATGTGCTTGGAACAAGAGCCCAGAACTGGGGAAAACAGGAGGGTGATTTAGACTCCTTCAAATAAAATGTTTCCTATGGCACCATAAGATTTTGGATCAGACCCATAGAACCCAGAACCCAAAAATCATGTTACCCTAATTAATCATAAGTTACTCTAGTTGTTATCCTCCATGTGCCTGTTAGTTGTATTAGTAGTAAAGTTATTTTAGCTGTACCATGTCTTAGACTTCTAATAATGAACTAGAGTTGTTCTAGACTAGGGCACGACCCCTTTTTACTAGACCTGCAGCATTGTGTTTTAATGGCTTCATAGCATGTAGTTGTAAGAACACCCACATGATCAAAATCTAAAACCATTAAGTATAATAATGGAAACAAGAAAACTAGTTGAGAAAAATGGGTATTACACACAGTACTGAGTCACATCTTGGGCCATTATGTGATTTTGTAAAGCTTTGCTCAATGAAGTCAGTCAATGAACTTATTTATTTCAGTTGTCTTTATCAAGTTGAGAAACATGAAAGATTTCCCAGTTTAGCACCATCGCCTTCCACTTTCAAGACTTCTCTTTTTGACATTGCTTTAAAGTAAGTAATAATTACCTACTTTTCTACAGTTTTATCCCATAAGGAATGTATTTTGCCTCTGAAACAATTGAGATGAATGTTTCAATTAGAACCTACAGAGTTGTCTTTACTCAAGCGCATATCCATTTAGTTAAGTGAAATACTTTATTTTAGGCACAGATATTATATAAAATTAAGCATTCCTATTATATTTTCCTCTAATTTCTTTCACCTGTTTTCACTGAGACTTTCACATGTGGATCAGTGGCAGTGCTTGTTGTTTAATTTTAAGCTAGAAAATAGGCGCTTTTTTTTTCCGGTAAATCCTGTAGCAATGTATAGCCATGTCTCAGTGGACATATGCATATAAATGCATACACACTCATACTCTATATGTGTATGTGTGCATTATACATGTGTTCAATTCTGTGTTTAATTGTATATACTCTTAGAACTGATTCTTGCAGTTTTTTATGTAAATAAGAGAGTTTGAAAAAGTAAAATTAGGAGAGAAAGTTAACCTGAATGTTGCGGTGGCAATAAATCTGAAGAATATAAAACAATTAGAACATACAGAGCAATTGCAATTATCATGTTCCAAATTCTGTATTTAATTTTTGTTAATAATAACAATGTTGATGCAACCTCTGAGTATTTCCCAGGGACTGACTACCTGCTAGAGGGAATAGTCCTTCGCTGAGCACTGAGTCAATGGAGCTTTCTAGCCAATCATTACTTCCCAAGAAATGCCATATAGCTCAATCATTATTAACAGACATTCCAGAGCTGTGAAAATCTGTCAAAAAAGCAGCTAGACAGGCCTGATCTCAGGCAGTATTGATGTGAAAGGTATTTTGTGATAAGGAATGTCATGTGGTAACTGGGATGAAGCAGTCAATGTCTGCTTCCTTGATAGTTATTTCATACTGTAATGGGATGTTTGGATGTATAGATACAAAATGTATTGCAGCTGGAAAACAAAAGAGGTGATGATTCTACTATAGCAGGCCAACTGGCAGTATGTTTGCAATCACTAGTCTTTAAAAGTACAGTTAAAGGTTAGAAGATGTCTGCTGTGGAACAAATAAGGTAGCTTGAGACATGAAAGAAATACCTTAGCAGGTATGAGTTGAAGAAGCAAAATGTGTTTAACAAGGAGGCTACAAGCGACATGAGGTTTATACTGAAAACAGTCCCATGATTTACAAGTATTGTAAACAGCTCTGAATGACACAACTCAGAAGTTTGTTTTGAACACCTCTACATTCTTGAATCAGCATACATCAGACAGCCCCATTTGCTTCTACCAAGTTTTGTCATTCCTCTGTGAGGAGCATGCTTTCCCATTGGTATTAGGCTTGCTGGATGGTTAAAACGCAATTGCTTCTAGACCTTTCTTTTGGTTACACAACTAACACTTCATAAGCTTTGTTCTTTTACCCAATAACTGCAATCATTAATATCATATCAGTGCAGCAACGTGTGAAATTCCAGCCTGCAGTGTGTTGACACTAAATATACTTCTCCTTTTGTAATTATTGAGCGCACATCTTTTAAACTAACCTTTCTCTTTTCATTAAAAAAGATGCACATACAGACTGGGACAGAATGAGCTT